CTTCTATGGGAAGGTTACTTATCAATTAGGAACAAACCATTTCAATCTATCTTGGACTGTCCAAGATCTCATGTTGTGGGCTATTGTACTTCAGCTTATGTTTACTTTCCTTGTATCTTTTGTTTTGGGCTTTTATGTTTGTTGTATCTGTGTTTGTTTTTCTTTCCTTTCTTATAGCAAGACTGACAAATTGGAGCTCTAGATTTTTATCTAAAGTGCCTTTTATTTTGTAATCTTTTTACTAAATTAATTTACAGAATTTTTTATTAAAAAATTTAATTTTGAGCTCAAACGACTTGAAAGAAATATTTTATTTGGTATCGCAACTTTGAAATGTTTTAATTATTAACTATAGTTTAATTCTTTTCTATCATAGTAAATTTTATTAATGGTTAGTCAATCCCTAATTATCATGATAGAGTAATTATGTGGTTAAGTATCTTGGAAACGTAAGGGAGACATTACAATTGAAGTTGGACTATTTGACTCATTCCCTCTTTTTACTTGTATTAAACTTAAGTAGACTACCGAACTTTTATGACTTTGGCTAGTTTTGAGTATGGATGACTATAATTTGAGTTAATGGATAGGTGTCTTTTGCGTATGGATTTGGTATTTGAAGTTGGTTTGAGTTTATGAATGACTATAATTTGAATTTGGTTATATAGTTTTAGCTTTTAGGTTTGATTTTGGTTATATATATTTTTGCTTCCAGGTCTGATTTTTCCTTCTTTTTTTTTTGCATTTAAGTATAATTTATTGTTATAATTTTTCCTTCATTTCGTTATTTTTTCACTTCCAAGGTCTAATTTATAGTTTTAATTATTTTTTAGCTTCCAAGTTCTTATTTTCATTATGTTTTTAAGATTATTGTTTGCTTTTTTATTTCAATTTTCCAAGTCTCCTCTAGGTTTAGTCACAGGTATAATACATACATATAGCCCAAATTTAGAGGCTAGACATACTTATCAGCTCTCGATCTTGCCCACCTAACCCTAAATATATTGAGCAATCTTCAGGCATGGTTAGATATTTAGCTAACAAAACAGTTTATCCATTTTTAAGGTCATGCTTTCGGTTCATTATCAGCTCAATTTGGCTATGCCCATGCACACCCCTGTGCTAACATATGCATCTGCATTCGTTGCTCATCACAATGGTGAGCACCGAATGCTCATCAGGGTCAAGAGCAATCATGGTGTAATAGCCCTCCTCGGGATCTCACCGTCACCCGAGGCGCTGGACACTCTCCCCCCAGGCCCCACAATAGGGCGACTCCACCCCTTTCGGTGAGTATCAGGAGACAAAGGCTTCCCCGCAGTAGTGTGAAGGATTATTCCCCTTGCGGAGAGCCTCCCCAGGTTCGATCCTCCAACCTCTCCTACATAACAAAGTTGAGGCTGAACCTAGTACCATTAAGTCAAGTCCCCTTTGTCTCCTGATGCTCACCGAAAGGGGTGGGTTCGCCCTGTTGTGGGGCGTGGGGGAAGAGTGTCCAGCGCCTCGGGTGACGGTGAGATCCCGAGGAGGGCTGTTACATTAAAAGGGCCTTTTAATGTAACAGCCCTCCTCGGGATCTCACCGTCACCCGAGGCGCTGGACACTCTCCCCCCAGGCCCCACAACAGGGCGACCCCACCCCTTTCCATGAGCATTAGGAGACAAAGGCTTCCCCACTTGACTTAATGGTACCAAGTTCAGCCTCAACTTTGTTATGTAGGAGAGGTTGAAGGATGAACCTGGGGAGGCTCTCCGTAAGGGGAATAATCATGCACACTACTGCGGGGAAGCCTTTCTCTCCTGATACTCACCGTAAGGGGTGGGGTCGCCCTGTTGTGGGCCTGGGGGGAGAGTGTCCAGCGCCTCAGTGACAGTGAGATCCCGAGGAGGGCTGTTACATGGCCCTTTATTTCAACTTTATTTGATCTTTGCCATCCATTTAAATTATTTTTTAAATATTTTTAATATTATATTTATTAAGAAAAAATATAAAAAATTTTAATTTTAAATCTGGACTATTTAGAGTATATTTAAATGGTTAATTTGTAAAATTTATAAATTTTATAATATTAAATTAGGTTATCTAAATTATATCTGAACTATACAAATCTATCTGTATAGTCAAATTATAAAATTATAAAAATTTTTAATATTAAATTAGATTGTCAAATTAAATCTGTACTGGTCAAATTGGTAACAAACAGATGTATTAAAAATTTTACAATTTTTATATTTTTATATTAATAAATATAATATTAAAAATATTTAAAAATTAATTTAAATGAATGATAGATATCAATTTAGATTGAAATAAAGGGTCAATATTGCTTTTAGCTTTGATGAGCACACCCAATGCAATTCCCAACGTATGTGATGACAATTTTTATAGTTATTTAAAAGGAGGGGTTTAGATGGATATTACTTAGTTTTATGACATTTTATTTATTTTAACTGACCTATTCTAATTTTGATGAATTAATTAGAGATGACTAATGAAAAGAAGGAAGTAGGCAGCACATACAATACTACTGTAGTGTCATCGTAATATAATTCTCAGTAAACAACAATGTCAAAATTTACAAGTGCAAACTTTTATTTTATTTTATTTCTTGACCAACAACTTACAAGTGCTAACTACCTTGGCTAACTAACTTTTCCGGTTACAATTCCAACTAAGCGGTGGCTGCTCAAACAGTATTGTTGTATATGTATGACTAGTTAATTTACAGAGCTATTGCGTTGCCATCATACAGTGCTCTGTACACGGTGATTCCTGAGCAACTGGCGTGGGGTTAAAATAATGGGCGCCACTTATTTGAAATCGACATGTATTAAAGATAAAACCTATTGTTTTTTAATTTCCCACTTTTATCTATCTCATCCAAATGAACTTTGTTGACAAAAAAATTAATGAACTATTATCGTTGATGTTATTTATAAGATATAAAGAGAAATAATTTTTTTATCCTATTTATTATAAAGAATTTGTCATTATTTTTTTATTAAAAGTTTTTTCTTTTACCTCATTATTAAATATTAGTGAGAGAAAATATATTATTTTAAAAAGTATATTTAATAAGAAAATATAATCATTAATTTCTATAATTTTATCAAATTTTTATTTTAATTCCTGTAATTTTTTTAATATTTTTAATCCTTTTAGGTACCAAAAATACTTAAATTATAAGAACCTGAATAACCAACATTATCCAATCTTAATGAAGTTATAAGGATTAAAAATATTAAAAAAATTATAGAAATTAAAAGAAAAATTCAATAAAATTATAGAGATCGATGATTTTATTTTTTCTATTTAATAAGAGTAAATTTAAAAATTTACTAAAATTGTATATTAAGAATATATTAAAGAATGAGTTTTAGGTTTAATTTGGATGGAGAAAAAAATAGGATGCGAAACTTTTAGAAAGAAAATTTCTCAAAAATAAGTAATATATTTTGAGAATTTTCTCCAATTTATATTCCTGTTTTTCTACTCATCAAAACCAAAATTAAACCTTTCCTTAATTCAAGTGAAGCATATTAAAAATAATTTATAAATAAAAATTTAAGTATTTCTTTAATATAGACTTCACATTTTAATTTGAAATAAGAGTTTAAAATCATCACCAATATAATAATATAAAATTTACTTGACGATACCCAACTTTCGAACTCCACACAATGCATTGGACACAAACTAATCAATGATTAATTTTGGTTGCAAAAATATAGTAATTAAATAATTTAAGAGAAATTGAGTTTAACGGACAGTCAAAGGCTGACTCGTTCACCTTCCATTCAAAACAAACACGGGGTATATTCTGTCATGTCGTGTTTGGAAGTTAAACTGCATGCACGGGCATTTTATATTTATTAAAATAAAAACTATAAAATTATAAAATAAATCTATTCGTAGTCTATATTTAATTAAAATTTTCTAATTTAATATAAATATTTTTATAATTTTTAAATATTGACTATCCTAATTTAAAAATATTTAGATTTAATATTAAATTTTTTTATAAATTTTTATTTTTAAGAAATAAAATATTAAAAATTAAAATAAGGTTAAATTATATATTTGATCCTCTAATTTTATATAAAATTTTAATTTATTTTAATAATTTTATAAAGTATCTTTTTCATTCCATTAATCCTGTTAGTTTTAAATTATTATTTTCGCACAAATTATTATTATTTAAAAAATTAAATTTAATATGTTAAAATTTGATAATATTTTTGTCAATGCTCAAAAGTTCAATGTATAATTTTTTTTAATGAAACTAATGATATAGAGTTGACAATTGAAAAAATATTTTATAAATTAAGGAAATAAAATGAAATATGTGTATCCTAACTTACACTTTTCAAAAAAATTTAAAAATTATAAGTTAAAAATTTTAAATTTAAATAATTCAGAGTAAATATATACAATGAATTTATTTAAATTTTAATATTTAATCTAAATTAAATTTAGATTAAATTTGTAAAAAAAATCTCAAAGTTTTCATTTTAATAAATATAAATTAAGATATAAAATAAATATTTTAAATATAGGTTACTCCCTCTGATCCTATTTATAAATTATTTTTATCAATATCATCAATACCAAAACTATAAAAATATAAAAATAAAATTTAATAAAATTACAAACATAATCTTAAAAAATAAATTAATTATATAATATTATTTTTTACTTTTGTTTTACTTTTTAAAAAATTAAAAATTTTATTTAAAATAAAATATTACTATTAATTTAATAATTTATAGAGTGAATCATTTTAATTTTTTAAAAGATGATTAATAAAGTAAAAGGGAGGGAGTATTAAATTAAAAATCTAAACGGTGCAAATTTCATTCCATTAAGGTCAGGCTAATGACGGCAAAAGGAGCTAGCTCCAGAATGCACGTGGGTGGGTCAGCGTTGGCAAGTAGCTATGACTGCTCGTCAGCTTTAACCCTTCAAAGACCAAAGTATTTATATTGATGGGACCAGCAGCAGCGAATTATATATCAACTCTCTCCCGCTAGCTATCCTCTTTCTTTAGATTCAGATACAGCTTTCCAAATTCTTCCCAGTTAATCCAGCCATGGAAGAATCCTTCCCTGACGATGATATCACATCCTCTCTCTGTAAGTAACTGAATCATTGCTCAATTATTAGTAGTTTAATCCACTTCCACTACTTCTCTAATAATATGATCTGTTTCTGCCATTCATTATGCAGTATCAAAGAATAAGGATGAGGAAGTGGGTCAGGAGATAACCAGTGAAGAAGAGAACTCGCCGGTGAGACAAGTGGCTCTAACGGTGCCGAAGACGGACGACACGTCGCTTCCGGTTCTGACGTTCCGGATGTGGGTGTTAGGGACAATCTCATGCGTCTTACTTTCATTTCTGAATCAGTTCTTCTGGTATCGCACTGAGCCTCTCACCATCACCGCCATCTCAGCCCAGATCGCCGTCGTCCCTCTCGGCCACTTCATGGCTTCCAAAATCTCCGACCGAGTCTTCTTCCAAGGCACACCCTTCGAGTTCACTCTCAATCCTGGACCTTTCAATGTGAAAGAGCACGTTCTCATCACCATCTTTGCAAACTCTGGTGCTGGTACTGTTTATGCCATCCATGTTATTACTGTTGTCAAGGTTTTTTATAAGAGACACATCTCCTTCTTCGTCTCCTTCCTCGTAGTCATCACAACTCAGGTTTCATTATTTCTGAGCAACACAAAAACGAATAAGGCTGAATTTAATTAATTATCAGTTTAGATATATATGAATGATGATTCATGAATATTTGAAAATAAAGGTATTAGGATTCGGATGGGCTGGTATATTCAGGAGGTACCTCGTGGAACCAGCAGAAATGTGGTGGCCGGCAAATTTAGTTCAAGTTTCACTCTTCAGGTCATATTCCTCACTCACCTCAAATTACTTGAATTTACTAGTCCGGCTAATTTTTCCACTTCCAGAAACACACACCAGCTGTAACTGTAAGTTGTAAAAGCAAGGAATTGTGGGTCATGTCTAAACGCGATAATTACCTGCTGAAGTATATTTATTGAAAGAAAAATATCCTTCAAGCAAATAACAATTTGATACCGTGGGATAAATATGATAATTATTGTATAGTCCTAGAACTTCTTTATCTATTTGTTTTAATGTGCCTTTCCATCCTTTTAGCTAGAAAACTTTGCATAGAGCATAATAATTTGTTATTTCACTTGAATCATTTTATCAAGAAAATTAGTTTCATTTCTTTAAAAGAATATAGTAATAATTGATTTTTAATTGTTAGATTTAACTGAAAAAAAAAATTGGACCAACTTATAATTTATTATTCCATTCTATTCATTTTCTAAAAGAAAATAGTAGCTGATTTTTAGTTGTTAAATTTCATTAATAAACAAATTTGAAAAGAGAAATTTGTAATTTTTTTATTCTGTTCTTGTCATTTATTATAAATCATGATTTTTAATTCTATAAATAAAATTATCTCTCTCCTTATGAATGTAATTCATTATTTCTTTTAATAATCTCTTTTTTACTTTTTTTAATTAATTTCATTATATTCCTTTCCCGTAACTAAAAAGGACCTAGTAATTTTCTAAAAGAAAGTAGTAAATAATTTTTAGTTTATTTTATTTTAAATTCTAAAATGGGGCATCAATTTTCATAAAAACACAAAAAATGACATGTCAGTCCCGAGGGACTAAAATTAATTATTACATTTTGCTGTACTGTATTCTATATTTTAAGAGTATTTTTCTGTCATTTTCCCTTTTTATTAATTATCAGTTATGTCCTCGTGTGGCCATTATACTATATAAATCATAACATATGGACATGTGTTATGTCAGGGCACTGCATGAGAAAGAGGAACGGCCCAAGGGAGGTTTGACACGAGCCCAATTCTTCGTAATTGCCTTCTTATGCAGCTTCGCCTACTATGTATTTCCTGGCTACCTTTTCGAGATGTTGACTTCTCTCTCTTGGATATGTTGGATATTTCCCAACTCAATCCTGGCCCAACAACTTGGTTCTGGGCTTGATGGGCTTGGTATTGGGGCAATTGGGCTTGACTGGTCCACCATATCGGCCTACTTGGGAAGCCCACTAGCAAGTCCATGGTTTGCCACAGCAAATGTTGCCGTTGGATTCTTTGCGGTGATGTACATTTGGACTCCGCTTTGCTATTGGTTGAATGTGTACAAAGCCAAAACGTTTCCCATATTTTCTGACAACATGTTTAACTCCAATGGTCTCACATACAATATCTCAGCCATAGTGGACTCCGATTTTCATCTAGACATCGCAGCTTACGAGCGACAAGGTCGTCTCTATCTTAGCACTTTTTTTGCCATGACTTATGGTGTTGGCTTTGCTGCTCTCACAGCTACAATCGTACACGTGGCTCTGTTTCACGGAAGGTAATGCATGCTGCTCTAATTAGAAGTGGGAATGTCAACCTGCCCAAACCACAGAAATTTTTTACCAGAAAATATGGGTTGGATTGTTTGTTCAATTTATTTTTATATAAATTAAAAAATTTTCAACTCAACTCAATTTTTGTGAGTTGGTGCTTTAAAAAGACCAACTCACCAACTTACTTATTCTGTTTCAGAGAAGAAAATATATCGAGTTGATAGAGTTGAAAATATTAACCAACTTGTATCATATAGGTTAACTCATATGCGTTGGGTTGGGTGTTTAAACTTTAATATATTTTTATATAGGTTGAAAAAATTGCAACATAATCTAATGGATTGTTAGTAGGGTTACACAAAAAATTGAACAACACTGAATTTCAACCTAACATGAAGTCTGATTTCTTTCATAAAAAAGATTGGGTTAGACAACTATAGTTTAATCTTGTTTATTGATAACTCAAAAATTAATAGAACCAAATTTGATCCATAAGATTGAAAGATTGATCCTGTTATTTTAGTACTTATTTAGCTATTTTTTTTCTTTTTCCTCTATGAGAAATAATGATCCATTTTAACCTAATAAATTTAATTAAAATAATAAAAATAGTTATAATCATAATTAATCCACAATAATTTTCGATAATAAATATTTCAGTTACAGTTTAAATGATTTCAATTTATAACTTCAACAAAAACAATACTCAACAAATTTCAACAATACTACAATACAATAATAATTTAGAAACAAATTTAACAAATCTACACGCAATCATTCCTTAGTGTCAATTATATTTAAAGCATTTGTCAAAAATAAATTAATTATAATTATATTAAATAAATTAATAGGACCAGACTGGATCAAGTGGTCCAAATGCCCAGTCTCCTGTCTAGTCCAATATGAAAAAATAGTCTGATCTTTTCATTCTTTTTTATCTTGAAGGATCAGTGTTTATACGAATTGAACAGGACCAGCTTGGGTCGGACTAGGTCAGACCAAACCTAAAGACTTTTACACTGCCGTAGTTGATAGATTAAATACACTAACCCACTAATTTATCTATTTATTTTTTTCATAATTTTTTTAAAATACACTTAAATGAGAAGTTCTAATATAAAATTCCATGCAATTAAAAATAATTATATAATAAATATATGAGATTGATCAATTCCATTGTGATTTCCTCCATTTTTTATTTTTCAATTTTCTTTATTTTTATAAACAATATAGGTTAAATGGATTAATTCTAATCTATTTAGGTTACTTCATTTGATTTACGGGTTATCTGGTCTGAGTTATAAAATATTTTTTTAAACTAACCTGACTTTTATGACAGATTATTCATCTTGACCCATATTCCCCCTCTATTACTGCACATATATGCCTATTTTGCAATTTCTTCAAGTCCTGACATATTATATGTGATGTTACACAGAGAAATATGGGAGCAAACGAAATCAAGCTGGGTTAAAAGTAAAATGGATATACACACAAAGTTGATGAGGAGGTACAAGAAAGTACCCGAGTGGTGGTTCGTGAGCATATTGATTGTAACCATCGCAGGCACCATATTTTCTTGTGAGTATTACAACGAACAGCTTCAACTTCCTTGGTGGGGCGTTTTACTTGCTTGTGGTATCGCCATCTTGTTCACCCTCCCCATTGGGATAATCACAGCAATCACAAATCAAGTAGGTTAATGACTAATCACTACATTAATTACATTGATTAGTTCATGAAGTGATCGACCAACCATGTCTGTTTGTTTGTTCATGTGTTTACAGACGCCAGGATTGAACATTATAACAGAGTACATAATAGGATATATTTACCCAGGATATCCAGTGGCAAATATGTGCTTCAAGGTTTACGGGTACATTAGTATGACACAAGCAGTGACATTCTTGCAAGACTTGAAGTTAGGACACTACATGAAAATCCCTCCAAGAACAATGTTCATGGCCCAGGTTGTGGGAACCTTAATTTCAGGAATTGTCTACTTGGGGACAGCATGGTGGCTCATGGAAACAATACCGGACATATGTGAGGACACGTCCTCGGTGTGGACATGTCCAAGCGACACAGTATTCTATGATGCTTCCGTGATCTGGGGTTTGATTGGGCCACGTAGGATCTTCGGAGACGAAGGTTATTATGAAGCAGTGAATTGGTTCTTCTTGGGAGGTGCAATTGCTCCTCTTTTAGTTTGGTTAGCTGCTAAGGCATTCCCAGAACAAGAGTGGATTTCACTGATCAATCTTCCCGTCTTGCTCGGCGCCACTGGGATGATGCCGCCCGCGACTGCCGTGAACTACACTACTTGGATCATTGTTGGGTTTCTTTCTGGGTTTGTTGCGTATAGGTATTTCCCTGATTGGTGGAAACGTCGTAACTATGTGCTTTCCGGGGCACTTGACGCTGGTCTTGCGTTTATGGGCGTGCTTTTGTATCTTTGTCTTGGATTAGAAGATATTAGTCTTGATTGGTGGGGCAATGACATTGATGGTTGTTCTCTTGCTCACTGCCCAACCGCCAAGGGAGTCGTAATTAAGGATTGCCCTGTTTTCACATGACTCTAGTAGTTGCTCCATGAGGCTGGACAAGGCATGAGAGGAGCCATGCTAGGAAAATTTTGAATTCATAATCACTTGTATATAAAAATGTTTGGATATTCTTAAAAAATTATTAGATTTGAGTTTATAATTGATTTTGATATGTATAATAGATATTTGGATACTTAAAAAAAATTATGATTTTAAGTTTATAACTGATTTTTTTTTTTGACATGTACTCTCCTTTTAAATTATAAAACACTTTTGGGTGATATTTAACATTCTAAAATAGAAGATGCTTTAAAAAAAATTAAAATTTTATTAAATAGGATTATTTTAATGTTAATATCGTATAATTTAGGAGGAATAATAAAATTAAGTGACTAAAGTATACTTTTAATCCTTTAACTTTTTACAAGATTTCATTTTGATTCTTTAATTTTATAAAATATTTTTTTAATTTTTAACCCTAACATCACTAGTTTTATCACAAAAAATTTTTACTTTAAATTTTTAAATATCAACAAAATATTATTAAATGTTGATATATTAAATTTAGTTTTTTATATAATAATGATTGATACAAAAAAAAATAACCATATGAAATTAATGATAGCAGGATTAAAGGACTGAAAAAATATTTTATAAAATTAAGGGACTAAATTGAGACCTTATATAAAATTAGAAAACTAAAAATATACTTTAATCAATTAAGTATGTGGATATATTTTTATAAAATTATAGTTTTATAGTTTTGGCATTATTATTTATGTTGCCTAAAGTCTAAACATGCACGAACATGTTTATAAAAACATTTATACATTGGTCAAACAATTAATTCAAGATCCTTAAATTAGTCATCCTTTAGTTGGCCTCTTTAAGTTTGTTTCATTTATGCATATTTGTACCAATAAAATGAGAACGAAAAAAAATAAAAAAAGTACCTAATTTAATTTTGAGTTTATAATTGATTTTGATGTGTATAAAAGTGTTTAGATATTTTTTAAGAAACAATGATCTTGAGTTTATAATTGATTTTGATATGTATAATGAATGTTTATATATTTTAAAAAAAAAGTGGGTAAAAATCAAATTGGCTATTAAACTATAAGTTTATGAGCATTTGAGATTCTAAACTCATTTTTTATATAATATTTTAAAAAACAATTTAACTTCTATTACTAATAAAAATAACTTTGACAGTCAATTAATTATAAAATAATAAAAAAAGATATCAAAAAATACAAAAGGACCAATAAAATTTTAAGAATCCTTTTCTGTAATTTTTTTAATCCTTGTCTATAATGAATTCTTATCTGAAAAAAATAGCTCATATCAAATGAAGCTTAGAGTTTCAAAAAAAAAAATAGAACTTGAAAAAATTGAAAATGTTTAGATAAGATTTTTCAAAATTAGAAGTTTGAATCCTGAATTAATTCTACATGTATGTTCAATCCAATTGTGCCCTAGAAACTTTTGAAAGTTAACCAAGCTTAATTTTTTTCATGAGAAAAATATAAAAATAATCTAAAAAATGATAAAAAAAACTCACAAAAATACAAATAAGTACCCAAAATTAATAATTATAAGCTTGAAAAAATGCATTATGGAATTCGAACGGGCCCTCGTTTTAAATCCTTCCACCACTACCAGCATGGCCCAAGTTTTGTCTGTGTACATTTGGGACTTGGCAGGCAAGATGAGTCAATAGTCAAGGGAGGCGATAGAGGCAGGTTAGTGGAACACCGCCTTCGCTTGGTGAGTTTCTGAGAGCTGCTCTTTCGGGTTTTAGGGAGAAAACCATGGAGACGCAATCAGATGGCAACGAAGATACCATATCCAACATTAGAAACGTCCGACAACAGCTCGAAGCACGCATAGAGTCCCAACACAAAACCCACCTGGAATTGCTTGCTTCTTTACAAGCCATTATCCCTAATATCGTCTCTTCCCTCGATCTCTCTCTCAAGGTTGTCTCTTCTTTCAATGATCGCCCTTTTGCTCCCACCCCTTCCTTGCCTCCTCCACTTCCTGACCCTAAGTCTAAGAAGTCTCACCCTGTTAACTCAAAGTCACAACATGATCGTTCCATCTCGGCGGACCTGACAAATCCCGCAACCCAAAATGCCAGAACATCTCCGGCCTCCAACCCAGCTCGCCGTTTGGAAACTGAAAGCGGAAGTCCGTTAGCTGTGGTACGATCAATGGTCGCCATTTGTCTTTTGGGACGAGTGCCATTTTCTCCCATTGATTCTTCCACAGTGTTGAGGAAATTGGAAAATGATCGGAGTGTGACCCCTCTAGAGAAGGCTGCGCTTCTCGAGCTTGGAGGGGATTCAGGGCCGACGCTCGCTGTGGAGTTGGCTTTGAAGTCCATGGCAGAGGACAATGGTGGTATTGATTTGGAGGAGTTTGTGGTGAGTGGCAAGTCAAGAATTATGGTTTTAAATATAGACCGAACTCGTCTTGTCAGAGAATTGCCAGAGAGCGCCCAATATCAGCAACTAGAGTCGAGTGGAGGAGATGGGAATGTAAATCAAAATCAAGGTCAACAAATTACTACCACTGGCTCTGATATGAACAATGGATTATTTGGAATGGCAGGGCAAGTTCCAAGGCCAATGTCGGATATGTGGATGCCTCCTGGGGAGCCACATATGGGGTTGCCACCTATATTTCCAGGGGGTGGAGGGCCTCCTACAATGATGGGACCAAGGGGGGCACCTAGAGTAATGGGAATGATGGGTATGCCTAGAGGTCTAGGTATTTCTACAATGCATAGGCCCCCAATGGGACCGAATTCACCAGCCAGTGGTCCTAATGTAATGTCACATAAGCCAAGAACTGAAGAGGATGATATGAAGGATCTTGAGGCTTTGCTGAATAAGAAATCATTTAGAGAGATGCAAAAATCTAAAACAGGTGAGGAGCTTTTGGACCTTATTCACCGGCCAACTGCAAGGGAAACTGCTGTAGCTGCCAAGGTTAGTAGAATTACTTCCTACTTTAATAGCATGCTTTGATTTGCATTTCCATATAAAATTACCATAATAAGCATTGGCATCGCCTATAACTTATACCTCCTTGCACTGTTCCTCAAGTCAAGACCCCCTTAGTGGCGGGAGTTAAGTTACATCATCGGGCGTTCCATGTTCAGGTGCCTTAGTCTTGATGTATCTACACAAAGAAATGAATTTAAGAATTTAAAGAGTTGGTGAACAACAGGGTTAAAACAAATTTGCATATGTATGGTTACAACAGGATATTGTACTTCGAGGATGTAAAGGAATTTCCTTTCTATCTGGGTGACCAAACTTTGGGCTCAGGTTATATTTTGATGGTATTTTGGGACATCTATTTTGTTTTAGTGTTGTTGTGATTTCATCTGAATAGATTTCATGTAAACAAGATTGATCTTGACAAGGACATATTTATTTTGAAACATTCTAGGTAAATAATTCCAGGTTTGGAAATTTAGGAATCAAATGAAGAAGGGGATGCAGTATGAGTATGTTATTCAACAGGTTATGATTGGAAAATGATGAAAATATTTTCTGAATCTGGGGATTGAGACAAATATTACTATACCCATGATCATTCCTATCCTTAGCCACTTGGCCATTGCTCATAAAGAGCACTAGAAGTAGGTTAAAACTTCCCAAACAACTGTGGATGTGCTTATAATCTTATTATGATATTTTACGTATTTATCAATGACCTACAGCTATTCACACCTAGATCAACCTACCAAGTGATGTGGATCTTGAATTTGTATAACAATTTGAGGCTCATAGTACTTCAATTTATGGCGTTTATTTTCTCTACACCAAAATGCACTTCTCTGCTCTGTTTTCCTTATGCTTGCTGTGTGCTTTTAATTCACTCCACATTGTCTTTAGTTGATTAGTTCTCCTCATCTTGCTTGTTGCTGTCGTCTTGTTTCAGTTCAAAACAAAAGGCGGTTCTCAATTGAAGGTTTACTGTTCATCTTTGACAAAAGAGGATTGCCGCAGGCAGTCAGGATCCTTTATAGCTTGTGATAAGGTCAGTAACATTGACAGTATGCTACAATGTAAAGAATACCATTTTATTATTTTTATTTTAATTTCTTTGAGTTCTATGCAAGTTCTGCATGGCATCAAGTAAAAGCTTTGAATACACTAGTTGTTGAATGTCCTATGGGAGTATGCTTAACACTCTTAATATAATACTGTTGAAAGTTGAATGGAGAATAAAAAGAAGGAGCAGGAGTGAGAAGAAGGGCATTGTTAGTGCTGAAGTTCATTCCCTTACATAACTTATATCCCCCCTTTTACATTTATAGACTCAAGTATTTTCATAAATATTCTTCTGCAGTTGATTCCAACACAATTTGAAGAACCCAATAGGTCTTGAAATTAGGTAATTTGATGTGCTGCAAATGCTTCTTCTGGTCAGCATGACCGTGACCAGTATTTTGTTGAAGTGATGTTCAAAGTAGTACATGCTGAACAACTTCTAATTTATGGATCACCTTGAATTGTTTAATTATTTGATATGCATTTGCTGCTAACCTAAGAGAATCCATTGATTGTTAATTAAGATTTTTAGTGTTATTGTGTTTAATTATCACTAAGACTATGCTTGGTTGGAGGGGAGGGGAAGGGAGGGAATGGAGGGAAAGGGAGGTGAGGGTAGAGGAGGGGAGGGAGGGGGAGAAGAAGGGGGAGGGGGGGGATCCCCTCAATTTGGGGGGGAGGTTTTGGAGAGGAGGGGAAGAAAAATTTTAACCACCTTACCAAACAAGGGAAGGGAGCCCTCCCTCCCCTTGTTTGGTAAGGTGGAGGGAAGGGAAATTTTTTTAAAATTTCCCCTCCCCTTTCCTCCCCTCCAACCAAACACTACCGAAAATTATAAGTCTTCGTATACTCTGTTGTGTATCAAGTGAATATTCAATATTAGGGATGTCCCTAGAATCTTTTTATTTTTATTTTCTTAATAACAAGGGTATTGGATAACAATAATCCTGTACATTCAAGCTAGGTATCATTCTAATTGTTCAAAGTATATTTTATCCAAAATTTTATGCTATTAAATGAAATTTTATTAATATTTTTAATTTCTTATGTATTCCTTCATATGGAAGCCTTTAGGCTCATATTTTGGGCAGCATGAGCTCGCCGTAAATTTTGCTGAAAATCAACTTTAACTAGGAGGGTGAGATGACAAACCTGAATGCTTGTCCAATTAGTCAGAGCTTCTAATATTGAAGACAAATTCAACTAGAAAGCTTATATTGTTAAATAATTAATTTTGGTTAATGTCTCTAAAATACTTTTCTCAAAACATTTTTGGGCTTGAGGTGTTGATAAAGCACTAGTATTAATTGAGTTCTCTTACATTATCTCATCATAGAATAAATACTAAATGTCATGATTCCAACATCCATGCAGTTGATAGACACTGGCAACATATGATATGCAATAGTCTCCCACAATTACTGGCCTAAGTCTGGATTTCTAATACTGCTTTGATACCATGTCAATAAGTCAATACATCCCAAAGGTTGAAGAACTTTTTTTTTTTTTCCAGTTATTTGTAAATCTAGAATAACCAAAGTACTTTAAGTATAACTCCTAAAAGAACGTGAAAGCCTCACCTGATCATTGGCGACATAACCCCTACCCCAACCACACCAAAAAAAAGAAAAAAGAAAAAAGAACAAAAAGATATACTTGTTTTGTTTGAAACTAACAATAACAACTTAGTCTGAGGTTTATCTTATGAAAGCACAGACCCTTCAAAAGGAGCAGCTGTGTCAGTGTCTGAAACAGGTCAGACACTACACGTGAAGCTGTAATCATAAATTTTTGAGGGCTCATGTTTCTTTTATGCTGTTTTGTCTCATTTATGGAGTCACTTTCCCTTGACAGTAGAATCCTTTTAACCTTCTATTCAAAAAGGGGAAAAAAGGGAGGAAGACAAACATGTTTTCAAAGTTTTGGTGACATCGACTCTAGCTGAACTACCTATTCTGTGACACTGATTCTTGCAAGCTCAAAATGCACAATATGTCCTCTAACAGTGGTTCTTTCATGCATTTCCTGTAGATTCTATAAAGGCCTCCGAGGCTCATTCTGGATTAACTCATGTTTTATGATTTAGATTGCTTATATTTTTAAACAAAGATTATGTAATCATGGTAATAATACTTGATTTCACGGTGGGAAACTAAATTTTGCTGACAATTGATTCATCTAGTAAACTGAATCCTAAGATAAGGATTCTAATGTTAAACTGCCTTTCCCAGCACACCGAAAAAGAAATCAAAGAAAATATGTTGGCTAGTAGGACTCATAATCATGAATTTTTAACTGGAACTGACATAAAAGGTTATCTATCTGAGGTTTAGATTACTCAGCATTTTACCAAGAGTTGGTATTTATTATTTTAATTACTAGATTACTAGAGTAGAGCCCATGCATTGGTATGCCATCAAAAACGCCCATTGTTCCTGCCCATTACTCAGTGTCATTGTAAGCTGTAACATGCCAGTAGGGATGCAAAGTTTGGTGGTGGTTTCTCTTATTGTGCTCTAGGTGTTTATTTTGATGGTCCTAACATTCTTTCTTTGCATGAGTTTTGCAAACATGTATTGGTTTCCTCTCTTGCATTTATTTGTGGGTTCAGGGTTCATCTTGTTTGCATACTAATAAACCATGACCTCCTGACCAAAAAAAAAAAAAAAAAAAGTAACCATCTATCTGCAACCTGTTTTCTTGGCCATGTAGAATCTTTTGACTGAACTCATTCATGAATAAGAGGAGGCTGTCTTGTCAATTAGTTTTTTAACTTTTGTTTTTAAGTTCTTTAACTCTGCTCTTGTTAATATTATATTAACAGGTTCATTTTAGGCGGATCATTGCTCCTCATACTGACATTAATTTAGGAGACTGTTCTTTTCTCGATACTTGCCGACACATGAAGGTATGTTTTTGATTTCTAGTAAGAGAGATGATCCTATAAGTGGGTCTTCATTCAAGCTATGCTTATTTTTAGTTAGACTTATTTTATTTATTATCATTTTATCCTTTTACAGACATGCAAGTATGTTCATTATGAGTATGATCCTACACCAGATGTGCCTCCAATGATGATGGGTACTCCTCCTCCTCCCAAGCCACTAAAACCCCAGCGTGCTGAATATTGTTCTGAAGTGGAACTTGGTGAGCCGCAGTGGATCAACTGTGATATACGCAACTTTAGAATGGACATATTAGGGCAATTTGGAGTAATCATGGCAGATCCTCCATGGGATATTCACATGGAACTGCCTTATGGAACAATGGCTGATGATGAAATGCGCAATCTTAATGTTCCTGCTCTTCAAACTGATGGTCTGATTTTTCTATGGGTCACTGGACGGGCAATGGAGCTTGGACGTGAATGGTAAATGCTTGTTACAGGTCTTATTTATTGTTAGTTCAATCACAAATCTATTGGATAAGTAACCTCTAAAGTAAAAGTCCGAGGTTGCTTACATGCTCCTGTATTTGGTATGGTTTGCATGTCATAATGTGCCGAACTGCCCATGCAGTTTAGAACTCTGGGGGTACAAGCGTGTAGAGGAGCTCATTTGGGTGAAAACGAATCAACTTCAACGAATAATCAGAACTGGGCGTACAGGCCACTGGCTAAATCACAGTAAGGAACATTGCCTTGTTGGAATAAAGGGAAATCCAGAAGTAAACAGGAATATTGACACTGATGTCATTGTTGCTGAGGTCCGGGAAACAAGTCGCAAGCCAGATGAGGTTTGTGTAACAGATTTACTTGACTTGATCGTTAGCTAGTCTCTCCATTGACTTACCTTTGTGGTTCTAAACCATTGATACATTATTTGCTATGGCCAGGTTTAAAAAAGACTGTCATAAGATATTTTCAACCTTTCCCTTTCGACATTCTTCAACTGAATTGATCTTTGAATGCAAGAAAAAGAAACCGTCTCTCTCTCAACTAATTATGTGGAGCTATTGAATTTGAAATTTGATGCCTAGCAATTTGAAGTTGTCAATATATATTCTTACAGATGTACCCCATGCTGGAGAGGATAAGTCCCAGAACAAGGAAGCTGGAATTGTTTGCTCGTATGCACAACACTCATGCAGGGTTGGTTTTCTAGATGGCGTTTGTTTCTCTTTATTTTAACTAACTGGAATTCCTGGAATCTTCTGGGCTGGACATTTCTTTTTATGCTTTTTAATGAAGAATGCGCATACTTGTTATTGTGGAATCAATTAGTGCTTCATATTCATATTTCATGCATGCCTGGTTGTACATGTAAAGATCTCAATGAATGTATGTATGTATTATTGACTGCCTTCCCCATTTTTCTTTCAGATGGATGTCACTCGGTAATCAATTGCACGGAGTAAGGTTGGTTGATGAGGGGCTGCGGGCAAGGTTTAAGGCTGCTTACCCAGACGTGGAGGTTCAGCCGCCATCACCTCCCAGAGCTTCTGCTATTGATATAGACTCTGGTGCTGCTACTCAAATGAGAAGTCCTTTTGCAGCTACAGAACCTAAGTCCGCTACAACACAGTTTGGAGAGCCTTTGGCTCCAGAAACTGCTTATCCTTCCGAAGAGAAGTCAATGGCTGTGGATGTTGAGATCGGCTAAGATTCTGCTAAGTCAATCATGATTGGTGGTTTACTTGGTAAATCTGAAAGGAAACGGCCTTTTTATATTTTCATCAATGTTAGTATTTGGTCTCCACTTTTTTCCTCCTCCTTTTGGAGACTGCAAGGTTAGTTGTGTTTTTTTTTTTTTAAAGAAGAAAAGCCTTATAAGTTTTATATATTAATAATTGTAAAATGTATAGGTTGATTGTTGAAGCATGTAGCAATTGATATTTCATGAGAAGTGTTAAATGGGATTTTGTGGATGTATGTTAGTTGTGGCTTGCAATAGTTTAAGCATTAATGTGGAAGTGTTGTCCTCATTCACGTCCAACATTGGCTCTTCATGGAGCCGGTGAATAAGCATGAGAAATTGTAGTTCCGGGTTTGGGGGCTTATAAAATTTTCTTTATTTCAATTTTATTCTAACTGCTCGAATAAATCAAAAGAAATCCGAGCCAAAACTGAATTAAAATAGGTTTAGCTTAAATGTCCAAAGAAATTTTAATTTTATTTAAAATAAAAATTGAAATTAGCTAAAAAAAGTAAAATACAATAATGTTTAATAATTTGAGTTTTCTGGTTAATTTGAATGCCCGAGGTGTTAAAATTGGGTTTGGTTATATAGTTTATTTTATTGTATTAAAGTTTCTAAGCTTGATGTGAATAAATGTGGTCCGATTGAATTATTGGTTATTTGCGTGCGCAGCCTCTTTTTGAGGATCTGCCCTTAATGCTATAGCAGTGCCAAATGCTGAGTGGGTGTGATGCAGGTCAATTTGGACCTCTGCTGCATTCGGAGGATAATATGTCACTCTGCAATTGGAGAGGTTTGATGAGGTTGCAGAAAACATTAAATGGAAAATAAGCCCTCCCAAGATTTACTTGATTTATCAAACTCAGACCTTCATATTCTATTGGAAGGCCCAAAGTCAAAAACAAATATAGTGCACAACCCCAAAGGGCCTAATAAAGAGGTAAGAAATTCCAATTCGATCTTTTGAAACCGGTGTTAACAAAACCAAAGAAGCATCAAATTTGTGCATATTGATAGTTTTGGAAGGGTGAAGTGAAAACCCAAAATCAAATGGGACAAAAACGAGAAAACCCAAAATCGTTGTAAAGTTGAACTATTTAAGTTTTTTTTTATGTTATTGAATAATTTGATATATATATATATATATAAAATATTATATATATATTATATTATTTTTTATTTAATTATTATGTCAATAATTTGGTCAGCAGTTTAGTCAGTTGGACCTTAAAAATCATGACCTGTTGATTATGTCTTTTAAAACATTATGTCTTTTGAAGAGTGTATAGGTATAATACAATATAGACTCTGGTTAGGAAGTTAATGTCAAAAAAAGACCTGGGATCACTACTTAAATATTTGACCAAGTGAAGGGGATCCTCTGTTATAGATCCTTATGCCATTCATAATCACTACTACCCATCAGTGTTTGTGCATGCCTAATTTTATTTTCTTTGTAATTGTTTGTGCAGCCCCAGTTTGATTTTCTGTTTAGTTCTTTATCAAGTTCCTTCACCTCCGCCGAATGGCATTTTCCTAATTTTTTAATGGTTAAATTAAACACAATTGTCCTAAATTTTGAACTATAAATAAATAATCCTTTTAACCTTTAAAAATTAATAATAAACCAAAGGAATTGAAAACCAGATTGGTAATTGAATTGGTCGAAGTCAGAGATCAAGAGTTAAGGGTTCAACTGTGATCAAATGGAAGGTCATACTGAAAACAGACCGGACATAATAAATATTATAATTTAAATAAATATTCATTAATTTTCAATAACGTTTATCCATATTTAAGACTTAATATTTTTACAACATATAAAAATAATTCTAACAATAGTTGAAAAATTTCACAGAATAAAAATTAAAGTGACAAAAATAATAATAAAATATAAACATAGAATTAAAAAGAAATAGAAATAAAAAATCTACAATTTAAAAAAAATAACAAAAATATATATAAATTTAATTAATAAGACATTGAAATGTGAGGTAAGTAGTGACACGCAAGGCAAACGTTCATGATTCAGTCAAAACGTATAAAAGAAAACATCTATGGGAAGAGGTGATGAAATGAAAAATTTGAGATCTAGGTTGAATAAAACAATTCAATAAAGCTATTGTACTCGTGGCTTAAAATTTGAATAGCATTAATCATTTCATCTCCCTTTTCATCTTTCCTCTGGTTCAGCCTTTCTTTCTCTCACGAGAACAGCACCACTAGCATGAGACAAAACAACAACGGTAGGGTTGGTGGTGAAGCAGTTCACAAATGAAAAGGTTGAAGGTCTATTTTTTTTTTTCTTTTTGAACAAGTCATGGGCAAGAGATCAGAGCCAAGAGGCTATTCGCGAGAGGCTTTTACATTTTTTTTTTTATTTTCTTGTAACTCACCCAACTCGCCGTGGGGTTGGGTGGGTCAATTTAAGTTAATCTCGGATCACCCAGATTAACTAATACCTAAATAAAATGCAAAATCAGATTGGACGCATTGTCAGTTTGCTAGTTGGTCCGGACCAGTTTTACAAACCATGAATAAACATCCTCAAGCTTTGAGGTCTATGCAAATAACTACTAACCATTAATTATATACTCCTTAAATTTTATTTTTGTGTACATTTAGGCTTTCAAACTTTGATTGATATAAGGATAACCACCCTAAATTTTAAAGCCATACATTTGTGTAACAATGAGGAAAATTGAGAGAGGTACCGTATGGCTAAGAAGGAAACTAAGAGAGCTGTGGGTGAAGCTCGTTCTAAAGCTTTTGAAGAATTTTAAAAACCTTGAGACGAAGGAAGGAGAGCAAAATATTTATAAGATTGCCAAGAGTAGGGAAAGAAAATCAAGAGATCTAGAACAGATAAGGTGTATTAAGGATGAAGAGGGAAGAATTTTAGTTACAGATGATGAAATTAAAAATAGATGGGAGACTTACTTTTCTAAACTTTTCAATGATGGAGAGGATTCATCTAGTAACTTAGAGGATTTAGTAACTAGTGAAGGAGAACAAAATTTGTCATTCTATCGAATAATACGTGATAAGGAGGTAAAGGAAGCTCTTAAGAAAATGGCAAATGGTAGAGCCAACGGACCTGATTGTATATCTATCGAAGCGTGGAAATGTTTAGGTGAAGAAGGGGTGAGATGGTTAACTAAGTTATTTAATGTGATTTTACGGTCCAAGAAAATGCCTGATGAGTGGAGGAGAAGTACATTAATTCCTATTTATAAAAATAAAGAAGATATTCAGAATTGTACTAATTATAGAGGGATTAAACTTATGAGCCACACAATGAAATTGTGGGAGAAAGTAATTGAGCACAGTTGAGATTGGAGACAAGTATTTCTGAGAATCAATTTGGTTTTATGCCAGATAGATCAACTACAGAGGTGATTTATCTACTAAGGGGATTAATGAAAAAGTATCGTTGTAAAGATAAAGATCTACACATGGTTTTTATTGATTGGAAAAAGCTTATGACCGTATACCAAGAGAAGTGCTTTGGAAAGCGTTGGAAAAAAAGAGAGTACGGATTGCTTATATTAAAGCCATACAAGATATGTATGAGGGGGTAAAAACTAGTATAAGAACACCTAGTGGTCAAACAAAGAATTTTCCTATAAAGATTGGACTACATCAGGGATCATCTCTGAGTCCTTATTTGTTCAACTTGATTTTAAATGTTTTGACGGAACATATTCAAGAAGAAATCCCGAAATGTATGCTCTTCGCGGATGATATAGTTCTTATAGCAGAGACAAGAGAAGATGTTAATTGTAAACTTGAGTTATGGAGGAGGACATTGGAGTCGAAAGGTTTTCGTCTGAGTAGAAGTAAGACAGAATATTTATATTGTAAATTTGGTAAAGGAATATTGGACAATAATTTGGAAGTGAAATTGGGAGATCAAATTATACCTCAAGTGAAAAAGTTTAGATATTTTGGAGCCATTATTCAAAATGATGGCGAAATCAGTGGAGATATTTCACATAGAATTCAAGCTGGGTGGTTTAATTGGAGAAAAGCTAAAGGAGTTATTTGTGACCGTAAGGTGCCTAATAAACTTAAAGGAAAGTTTTATCGCACTGCTATCAGACCGGCAATGTTATATAGTAGTGAATGCTGGGCTCTAACGGGACAGCAAGAGCATAAAGTTGGAGTAGCAGAGATGAGAATGTTACGATGGATGTGCGGACATACACGTAAAGATAAAATTCGAAATGAGCACGTACGCGAAAAAGTGAGGGTAACGCCTATTGAGGAAAAAATGGTAGAAAATCGGTTGAGATGGTTTGGGCATGTACAAAGAAGACCAAGGGAGGCACCAGTGAGAAGAGTGGAACATATAACTTTGAGTCCGATTAAGAGAGGTAGAGGAAAGCCTAAGAGAACACTCTTGGAAGTTGTTGAACGCGATCTCTTAATTAATAATATTCCTAAAAGCTTGATAAATGATAGAGCACAATGGTGTCTTGCAATCCATGTAGCCGACCCCACCTAGTGGGATAAAGGCTTGTTGTTGTTGTTGTTGTTGTTGTTGTAGGTAATTAATATATAAAATTAATCATATGAAGTTATATGTATAAATATAAGAGTTGGGGGGTTCATTGTAAAGTTTTAAAAGTTAAAAAGGTTATGTGTACATAGTTTAAAGTTAAATAATGTATAATTTAGTCTTTTTTTTATATAAATAAAAATTTATGTGAGTTTGATCCTAGTGACGCATCATGATTAGGGTATGTCTCTACACTCAATGGGCACTTAAATAAGTACTTACAGGTTGTTCACTAATAAAGTCTTTATATTGGTAGTAGAATTTGATCCACAACTTTATAAGTTATGGGTTAAATTCTTACTTATTGAACTAACTTTTGTTGGTGACATTTCCCTAATTTAACATACTTAGTTGAAATCAAATCCCTTATAAGAGACTTGAGTAATTTTCTACCTTTTATCCTTTATTTCCCTAAAAATAATTGATATAAATAAATGCATTTTTTTATTTACGATTACTGTTCTTTTTAATTTTTGTGCAATTTATATTTCATTTAAATTTTATTGTTATTCGAGATTTTTTATATCTTTGTTTTTATCTAAAATAATTAATAAAAAATTAAACTTATACTTCTTTCATTCAAAAATATAAGGCATTTTTTGAAGAGTTGGATGTTTAAAAATGTAAGATATTTTTAATCTTTTGATATGTAATCATTACCTTTTTAAAAAAAAATGCCCTTATTGATAGTAACTTTATATTTATTATAGGGT